TTTATATTCAGCAATTACGATATTTTTTATGAGATGCTTCATTCGTGTTGCGGTTACTCGCGCAAATAGGAAAGATGCAAATAGGTAATAATTAGGGCAACTTTATGTGAAATACCGTCGCTCAAAGAACTAGATGGTTCTTTCAAAGTAAAACCGGTATCTGATTCGTGTATTCATTTTGAACGTAGCGACAAACGGATGCCACTCCGTATTGGTTTGCCTTCGATTTTAGATTGGCGATAGCTTTAGGCACTCGTAGAAAACGTGAATGTGAGAAATAATAGTATTTGCCTACTGTTGTTTTATGTTCAATAATATACTTCAGCTTATTACAATGCACAATGGACAATGTATACGTTACTACAAGAAAATTCCAGAAAACGTTCAAAATGCATCAATAGCTAAATCTAAAAAAATAGTAAATGACCGTTTGTGTGTTAAAGGCTACTATAATATTAATGATTATTTAAATGATAACACACTCTGGTAATGAACTGTTCGCTCCAGGCTCTTTCAATCGGAGTTCTTATATTATATTTTTAATGAATTTATGTCAAACAGCTTATTTAAAAAAAAAGCTCGCCGAGTTTCTTTCGCCGTTTCTTCTCAGTACAGTGGCTTTCTTTTCCGAACCGGTGGTAGTGTTTTGACTATCAATAAGTGAGTGTAAATGCTAATGTTGAATAAAGACATTTGATTTTGATTTTGATTTTGACTCATATGACACAATTAGTCAGCCGTGAATCAAGTATTATTATTTGATTAATTGTTGTGAACATGCATTGTTCAACAAGTCCATATTTTTATTAACGAAAAACAGAAGCGACTTAATCAATTAAATATCTCACTGTGTATTCGTTTTATAACTGATTCTCAGAAGTTCCCCAAGTATCTTTGGTGTCCAAGATCTAATATCAATGAAATTAATATGGGACCACGAGGAAAACACCAGCTTTCAAATAAACAAAGGATCAGGGTTACCACTGTCCCGTGACCATGAACGCTGGAAAGGGTTCGAAACGTCGGGAATTTAAATCAAAATTAAAAAAAACGCGATAAAATCCGTAAATTAGTTTCATTTAATATGTATAACATTCGCGTAAAATCAAGAAAATAATATAAAAAAAGGATCATTAAAAACAGTTTACTCAGTCGCAAGTTCTGAGGTAACTAACATAAAAAAGATACAGTCTAATTGAGAACCTCCTCCTATTTTGAAGCCAGTTGATAAAATCGAGTGATAAGGGACTAAATACGGTAAAGCTTTACTGTGCACTTTTATCTTAACTTAAATTTAATAAAACTCATTACAAAAATAACAACGATATAATGATGAAACGATGCAATTAATCCTAAACTGTCTAGACTTACGTAGGTAGGTACATAATTCGTTGCTTTTCGACGATTCTGTAAGCACTTTGAGAGATAAACTTTTAACTACGATGTTCATTAGACTGACAAATCACGCTTGATATTGATCACCTAAGCCTGTGGTTCGGGTGTCTAGGTTTAAATTGACTGAACATTATTAATTGGAAATAGTGACGGCCTAGCAACTTCATTGGCAGGCATGCGTTGTAACAACGCGGGTTTGAAACTCAAGTTTACTTATTAAACTCGGGATTTGTTTCTTATTATGCTTTTTCAATATTATTATAAAAGGAAAATAATATAAGATATATGCATATAAATATAAGGAATATATTTAAACTAACCTTTCAGATTATACTAAAGTATAGATATAAAAATAAATTTAAGTCAGTCTTTGACTCTATACTAAGACTATACTCGTGCAGTATATTCAAAATCTTACATACTTAATATTGTTTACATAAGGATATGTTACTAAGAATGTACGCCGAATCCATTAAAAACGTGTTAAAGGACGTGTTGTGAGTTATATTTAATAGTACTTAAATTTAAGGTAACATAATAGACGAAATGAAAAAAAATCTCAATTTATATTCAATAATAAGGGTCGGCAATGAAAATCTCTTCAGATAATAATATTCTTGTCTTCCACAGATGTTCTATAAATCTGGTGCAAGGCTATAACGAACGCGTTTTCAGTTCAGTTTATACGACACTAGCGACCCATCCCGGCTTCGCACGGGTGCGATGTATATAACAACATACTATAAACCGTCCTCTTGCATCATTTTATCTAATAAAAAAACCGCATCGAGATCAGTTGCGTAATTTTAAAGATATACATACATACGGACAGACAGCGGGACGACTTTGCTTTATACTATGTAGTGAAGTTGACAAACGAGCTGGCGGTTTATCTGATGTTGAGTGATTACCACGATATCCTCGACACCTGAGAGGACGAAAAACGAAAAATATATACTTCTATATATATATATATAATACTTCCCCTTCACGGTCTCTTGTGAGGCCGTGTTACTTCCCCGAATCCATCCCAAAAGTACCCGTAATTTTTTTTGCGGATTTTATTTAAAACTTTTTTAATTTAAACACCTCTTCACTTTCTCTCTAGGAGTTCCTGGCTAACTAAAACCAGGTAAGCCTGAACCAGAAAAGTTGTTTTTTTTTTTTTCAACAGAGCTTTTTCAACAGAGCGCGTCTTCACTTCCGTATGCGGTATATTTGGTACCCGAGTGCATTATAGGTGGTCACGACATAGATGGCACACTCCATAAAATCATTACTGAGGAGGAGCTGATTGTGGTTACCACTAAATATCCAAAAGCGTGCGGGAAGCCGTCGAAATAACAAATTGCGTGACAACTATATCAAAAATATATATATCAACTATATAAAAAACAATAAACAATAGCACTCGTTAGACCTACTTTCACAATCTGGCAACTTAAGTTTCAAGCGCTGCTCGAAGAATTTTTGAAACGAAAGACTTTTTTTTTTTTTTTTTTTCGATATATTGTCTCCAATTGAAGCTAACAATCTTAAGACATACTGTTACATGAAGAACAAGTCTTAAAACTAAGATGAAAAGGTGAGCGGCGCCTTCAAACGGTGCTTCGTTAACATGTCGTAATTGGGATAGAAAGAGGTGGTCCAGGATTCAAAACGATCTTCAATACATCTCTATCAGTAGAAATGTTAAAGTGTTTTAACAATTAGTGTTAAATTTTTATACTGTTTCTGTTCTATTTTAATGGGATTGGCTATGCTGGCGGGTGCTGAAAATACTAAGTAACACTAATTTTATTGCACTTTTTAATTTATGTTATATATATTTTTCTTTAAAAAGTTACAAATTATACATTTTCAAGGACAATGCCGCTTTTTTTTAAGGCGTGTGAGCAAGAACTATCCTCCAATAGCTCATTTGTTCTCTCTCCAGCTTTCTCCAGTCTCATTCGCATCTCGTTAAATTGGTTGTTAAGGACCTCCACTTGATTATTATTATAATGGACTCTGTTTTCTGTTGGAATGCAGAGTTCTCCTTGAGAATTCTCTTTGTAGGGCCCTGATGCGTTTGTCTCAGTCTTTGAGATAGGCTTGGATCTCGTTGGCCTAGAGTGGATGCAGAGTCTCGAAGTCCTTTCCTTCTTATCTTTTATATTTTTCCTTCTTTTACGTTTTTCTTTCCTTTCCTTCCACTCTTTAATGTTTTTCCTGATCCTGTTGACATCAGACACTAGTTGTTTTATGACAATCGCAACCACTTTTTTGCCACGGTGATCAAGACCAAAAACGTATATAGTTCAATATTTTCATGGTTGAGGTAAATCATTTCTTTTAAGTAATCTCATTATGCAATTACGTACTCCGTACGTATTAAATTTATTATTGTTATTGTGTTTTACTGCAACTCATTTTCTTTATATATTTTTTACTTTACTAAGCGCTGCACTGAAAGTATTTGAATGGAAATCGTATGCCGGCTTATATTCCGCGTCGGAAAATCAAGGAACGCAATTACGCTGTTAGAGAGCAACTTGCATCGCCATAATACCAATAACATACCATCTCGACTCTCAAGACGTTGATTAACGGTGCAAGAAATATGACGAGAGCGTTTTTATTTTATGTGAAGAAAATAGTTTAAATTACTTTCATAATTTATAATTTAATTTTCATTACAAAAGATTAATAAATATAACATCCTTATATAAAATAAAATACTATAGAAAATCATTAAAAAAGCGTGTGATTCATTTCTTGAAACGAAATACGACTATATCAATAAAAGCTGCTTTAAATATAAAACGCCGTCACGTCCGCCTCGAAGGATAAGTAATCTACTTGTTGACTTCAAATGTTTCATGAATATTTATTGCTGGAAGAATAAATGGGCTGCTATTTGTAGCTTTGTATTAAGATAAATAGCCGTATATAGTTTCGGGTTACTCTATGTTGCTACCTTTGTTTGCTTTATTAGATGAAGAAATTAGGTAAATGTCTTGGGGATAAATTTTATCAACATACATATGGCACAATGTAACAAGATTTGGTTATAATGCTGAATCTTATTATATATATATATATATTATAGACGATTAATAGTATGGGAGTTGATTTAGAAGGTTACCAGTATATGAGTATGGGAGTTAAATTAAAAAGTTAATAGTAAAGGAGTATAGATGTTTAATGGTATGGAAGCTAAATTATTTAAGGTTGCCTATAAAAACTCGTGCGGAGCTACGCTCTGCGCTAATAGGTGATCGGTCGTAAACGTGATTTGTTATTTCCGTGATCTTAGTTATAATTACTTTTCTACCGCCAAGAAACTATTGTGTGCAGAGATTTTTTTTTTTTTTTTTACTTTATAATTTTTATTTTAAAAATAAATTCCTTTTGTATAATTCTAGATCAGAAGTGGGATAGGGTCCTACGTGATTCTATCTTGCTGGTTGTTCTGCTTTTGCTTTCACTTTTGTGTATTGAAAAAAAAAATGTCTGACCACGATCGCGAACGTGAACATCGTAGACACCGACATTGCAACGACTGCAAACGTCGACGTAGTAGATGTCGTAATCGTACACCGAACGATAGCTTAGGACATAACATGAGTGCTGTATTAGCTCGTCTTAAGGTGCTAGAAAGTCAGGTAGTTTCGGAAAACACGCAATCGCCGGCACAACGTAATGCGCGACCCATTTCGCCGCCACCGTCGGGGCTCCATGATTCAAACGTACGTTCGTTACCGTTGCCCGATCGGTCCGCCTCATCAAACGATGTTCCACGACGTGCTGGGACGCCGCCGGTTCCGCTGCGCCTGCCGAATCCGTTGCAAACAGATCGGGTAGTTGGTTCTAATTCCGAATGTGTAGTCGGTGAAGTAACTGCGCCGTCTATAATAATTACGGATCGCATCGTAGACGCTATTCGATCAGTCGGTTCAACCCAACATTATTACATATCAAACTTTGATCCTAATTTGCACAATATCGATGATTGGTGTGCGGAGGTAGATCGTGCAAAATCTCTTAACAATTGGAACGATTTTGAGTGCTTTTCGCGTATTGGAAATTGCTTAAAGGGAGACGCAAAAACATGGCTAGACGAATGGGTGACGTCAGATCGTAGTTGGAGTAATTTTAAAAGGGAATTTAAATCGCTGTGTCCCAAGACACCTGACATCGCAAACATTCTTTTTGATTTGATGAATACTAATTCCGACAAATATAACACTTACGCGGAATACGCTCGTCGCACCCTCCTTCGTCTGCAAATCATACGGGGGCTTAGTGATGAGTTAATTACGGCAATTGTAATACGTGGCATTACCGACCCGCTGATTAAGGCATCAGCTACGAATGCTAAATTGTCTCCTAGGGACCTTGTTGAGTTTTTGTCCACGTATGTGAAGCAAGCTAGCACATCAAAGGGTAATTCGACACGTGCCGCGTACGAGTCTAACCATAAACGCGTACTTAATTATTTATCAGTGCGAAAGCGACGACTTGAAGAAAGAAATTGTTTTTTATGCGGTCGGCCGGGACACAGACAGGCGAACTGTAACAGTAAAAGGAATAAAGCGAGTTCGGAGGAATTGTCCTCAGCAACCACGAATAAAAACTTAAGTTCTAAGTCTGCTTTTATGCCGGTAAAGACGGAGCCATGTGCGTTTTGCAAAAAGCCAGGTCATAAAGTCGATAATTGTTTTGCTAAGCAAAAATCCGAATCGCGTAATAAAGATAAGGTTAACTTTTGCCGCGAGAATCTTAACATTTGTAACAATGACGTTATTGTTGCTGTTATTCAGGGCGTGCCAGTTGACATACTAATTGATAGTGGATCAACAGTTTCGTTGCTCTCATCGGGTTTATTGAAACATTTTAAATGTACGCGTAGGCCGGCGTTTCAAATACTAAGAGGGCTTGGTAGCCAAGAAATCGAAAGCACATTTTACGTAACTTTGCCGATTGAATTTGACGGTATCACCCTTGAAGTTGATATGTTTGTAGTAAGTAGCTTCCGAATTTATGAATACTCCGGTTATAGTGGGTACGGATGTTCTGAATAGGGAGGGCGTCTGTTATATTCGTACGCGCGATTTGCAACTTCTTACGCGGGAAGTTATTAAACGCGACCAAGTGATGACTGTTCAATCTAATGAGTCCATTCCTGTCAACACTTTTCTTGTTTACGGTAATTTGCAACAATTAATGACAATAATAAATGAGTTTTCTCAATTTTTCATATCGGGCACGGCCACGTCTACTGTAAATACGGGTAGTATGAGTATTAGATTGAAAAGTGACACACCTGTTAACTACGGACCATATCGTCTCTCTTACGCGGAAACTCTTCGAGTCCGAGACATTGTTAAAGAATTATTAGAAAAGGGAATCATTCAGGAGTCAGAATCCGACTACGCTAGCCCAATTTTTCTTGTCAAGAAGAAAGACGGTACCGATCGAATGTGTGTCGATTTTCGAAAATTAAACGAAGTAACTATAAAGGATCGGTTTCCGTTACCGCGAATTGACGATCACATAGACCGACTAGGACGGAATAAATATTTCACGAGTTTGGACATGGCGACAGGATTCCATCAGATTCCAATGGACACGGGATCAATTCCTTACACCGGCTTTGTGACGCCTGAGGGGCATTACGAATATTTGAAAATGCCCTATGGACTTTCCAACGCCCCAGTAGTTTATCAGCGCATTATAGCGAAAACACTTCGGGAGTACATTGAATCTGGTGAAGTTCTTGTCTACATTGATGACGTATTAATTTTAAGCCCAACAATAGATCACGGATTAGCTCTTTTACGTAAAGTATTAGTGACTCTGACTAAAGCTGGCTTTTCCATTAATTTAAAAAAATGCTCTTTTCTATCACCTTCAATAGAGTATTTAGGCTGTAATATTAGCGAGGGTCAGGTACGGCCGAGCCGTGATAAAGTTAAGGCATTGACGGGTGCTGATGAGCCGAAAAACGTTAAACAGGTTCGTCAGTTCATGGGGTTGGCTAGTTATTTTCGGCGATATATACCTGGTTTCGCCCAAAAAACTGCTTGTATTGCGGCTTTAACACGAAAGGGGGTAGAATTTAAATGGGGACCCGAGGAGCAGACTGCGTGTAAAGATATCATTGAGTGCTTGACGAATAAGCCTGTACTAGCAATTTATGACCCTTCCTTGAAAACCGAGGTCCATACAGACGCGAGTTCAGTCGGTTACGGGGGAATTCTTCTTCAATTGCACGAAGGTGGGCATAAGCGAGTGGTTGCCTACTACAGTAAATTGACCCAGGGGGCTGAAGGTAGGTAGCACTCGTACGAGCTTGAGACCCTTGCGGTAGTAAAGACCCTACAACACTTCAGGCATTATCTAGTGGGCGTACGTTTCACCGTAGTCACTGATTGTAATGCGTTGAAGCTTACACAACGTAAAAAGGACTTGCTTCCCAGGGTGGCTCGGTGGTGGGTTTACCTACAGGATTTTGATTTTGATTTAGAATACCGTAAGGGTTCCCAAATGGCACATGCCCACTAATTGAGTCGGAATCCAGTCAATGTGTGTACAGTTCGGAAACCCCTGAACTGGGCACAGATTGCCCAAGCATCAGATGAAGAAACCCAAGTTCTCATTCAACGATTGAATGACGGTCGGTTAGACACAAGTCGATATGTCATTAGAAACAATACTCTATATGTCAAATATACACCTACTGGTGAACCGCCCCGACTTTTATGCTACATCCCTAAAGGTCACAGGCTAAGTCTGCTTCGAGTGTTCCATGATGAGCACGATCATCTGGGGGCGGAAAAGACTACTGACTTGATCACAAAACATTTTTGGTTCCCGGGGCTACGTAGTTTTGTTCATAAATATGTCACGCACTGCATAGTGTGTATCTCTCATAAAAAGGCAGCACGAGCCCCGTTACAGCCCATTCACTCTTGGGAAAAACCTGGAGTTCCCTTTGAGACTGTACATATGGACGTATTGGGACCGCTCCCAGAGGTGGATGGCTACCGTTACATACTAATAGTCGTTGATGCTTATTCAAAGTTTTGTCTTTTGTACGCTATGTATCGTCAAGAATCAAATGAGTTAAAACGATATGTAACCAACGCTATCTCTTTATTCGGTGCGCCCAAATTAATCGTTGCCGATAGAGCTCGAATGTTCCAAAGCACTGAATTTCTTGATTGGGTTAAGGATATGGGTTGTGATGTGCATCTTATCACACCGGAGATGCACCAGTCTAATGGACAGGCTGAGCGCTATTGCAGGACCGTTTTGAATATGATTCGTATCGAAGCAAATCATCGTCAACGGAGGTGGCCTAGTACTATTTGGAAACTCCAACTTGTCCTTAATATTACTAAACACAGGACGACACAGTATTCAGCCCTTAGTCTGTTAGTGGGAATCTAAGCGACAACACTACTCATTCGGAGTATTATAATTCGCGACGTGGCGATTCAGGGCAACAGCCTTAACAGGGAGGCTTTACGCGAGTTGAGCCGACAAGATCAAGACGCTTATGTAAACCAGGGAAGAAAGCCTCCTCGCGAGTTTGATCTACATTCGTTAGTTTTTGTAAAAAAGCAGGCACAGTCAACAGGGAAGCTAGACGCGGGCATGCGTGGCCCATACCGTGTGACAAAAGTGCTCTCGCACGGACGCTACGAACTACAGCTCCTGGCCGGTTCCTATGGGAAGTCAACGCAAGCAGCGGCGGAGTATATGGCCCCATGGCGTGGAGAATGAACTCCCGAAGTGTGTGCTGCTTACTTCGAGGGTGAGTTCTGTGACTACTGGAAAGGACAAGAAAAGACAGGCTGTAACCTGACAGATGTCCTTGTCAATTGCGAATTGTGCTTATCTGGTTTGACTAAGTTATGTTAAACGTTCTACCTATGACTCGGCAAGTTGACTAAGTTATGTTAAACGTTCTACCTATGACTCAGGGGTTGACCAAGTTATGTTAAACGTTCTACCTATGGCTTGGGGCCTAATTAAGCTATGACAACGTTTTTGCCTATGGCTTAATTAGCAATTTAGCTGTTTTCCATCTTATCAATACGGCGGACGCGTCTATTGTGAGATGAAAGACTTTAGTTTTCTTCTTTTTCTGTCACTTTACATGTTTTATTTTGCGTGCTTAGATGCAGACGCCGAAAACGAGGAGTCCGGTCTGGTGACTGCATGTCTCCAAGGTCAAGATCCGAGTCCACCTTCAGAAGACTACATGCCGCAACCTTCTACTTCTGGGACACAAGGGTCCACGAATACCCTTATCTCGCCTGCCGCTGAGGAACAACGGGATGTCCTGTTTAAGAGGAAAAGAAAGGAGGGAAGAGCCCGAGGACGGCCTCATGTCAGGAGAAGCCGTATAGACGATTAATAGTATGCGAGTTGATTTAGAAGGTTACCAGTATATGTGTATGGATGATTACGTATGGATGAGTATGGGAGTTAAATTAAAAGTTAATAGTAAAGGAGTATAGATGTTTAATGGCATGGAAGCTAAATTATTTAAGGTTGCCTATAAAAACTCGTGTGGAGCTACGCTCTGCGCTAATAGGTGATCGGTCGTAAACGTGATTTGTTATTTCCGTGATCTTAGTTATAATTACTTTTCTACCGCCAAGAAAATATTGTGTGCAGAGATTTTTTTTTTACTTTATAATTTTTATTTTAAAAAATAAATTCCTTTTGTATAATTCTAGACATTCTTTTTGTTTGATGAATACTAATTCCGACAAATATAACACGTTACGACGCGGAATACGCTCGTCGCACCCTCCTCGTCTGCAAATCATAAACGGGGGCTTAGTGATATTACTTACGGCAATTGTAATACGTGGGCATTACCGCGACCTCGCTGATTAAGGCATCAGCTACGAATGCTAAATTTGTCTCCTAGGGACTTGTTGAGTTTTTTTGTCCACGTATGTGAAGCAACGCTAGCACCATCAAAGGGTAATTCGACACAAGTGCCGCTTACGAGTCTAACCATAAACGCGTACTTAATTAATTTATCAGTGCGAAAGCGACGACTTGAAGAAAGAAATTTTTTTTTTATGCGGTCGGCCGGGACACAGACAGGGCGAACTGTAACAGTAAAAGATATAAAGCGAGTTCGAGGAATTGTCCTCAGCAAACCACGAATAAAAAACTTAAGTTCTAAGTCTGCTTTTATGCCGGTAAAGACGGAGCCATGTGCGTTTTTGCAAAAAGCCCAGGTCATAAAGTCGATAATTGTTTTGCTAAGCAAAAAATCCGAATCGCGTAATAAAGATAAGGTTAACTTTTTGCCGCGAGAATCTTAAAACATTTGTAAAACAATGACGTTATTGTTGCTGTTATTCAGGGGCGTGGGTGCCAGTTGACATACTAATTGATAGTGGATCAACAGTTTCGTTGCTTCTCATCGGGTTTATTGAAAACATTTTAAATGTACGCGTATGCCGGCCGTTTCAAATACTAAGAGGGCTTGGTAGCCAAGAATCGAAAAGCACATTTTACGTAACTTTGCCGATTGAATTTGACGGTATCACAGACCCTTGAAGTTGATATGGTTGTAGTAAGTAGCTTCCGCTTCCGAATTATGAATACTACTCCGGTTATAGATGGGTACGGATGTTCTGAATAGGGAGGGCGTCTGTTATATTCGGACGCGCGATTTGCAACTTCTTACGCGGGAAGTTATTAAAAACGCGTGGGACGGAATAAATATTTCACGAGTTTGGACATGGCGACAGGATTCCATCAGATTCCAATGGACACGGGATCAATTCCTTACACACCGGCTTTGTGACGCCTGAGGGGCATTACGAATATTTGAAAATGCCCTATGGANAACGCCCCAGTAGTTTATCAGCGCATTATAGCGAAAAACACTTTCGGGAGTACATTGAATCTGGTGAAGTTCTTGTCTACATTGATGACGTATTAATTTTAAGCCCAACAATAGATCACGGATTAGCTCTTTTACGTAAAGTATTAGTGACTCTGACTAAAGCTGGCTTTTCCATTAATTTAAAAAAATGCTCTTTTCTATCACCTTCAATAGAGTATTTAGGCTGTAATATTAGCGAGGGTCAGGTACGGCCGAGCCGTGATAAAGTTAAGGCATTGACGGGTGCTGATGAGCCGAAAAACGTTAAACAGGTTCGTCAGTTCATGGGGTTGGCTAGTTATATTTTCGGCGATATATACCTGGTTTCGCCCAAAAAACTGCTTGTATTGCGGCTTTAACACGAAAGGGGGTAGAATTTAAATGGGGACCCGAGGAGCAGACTGCGTGTAAAGATATCATTGAGTGCTTGACGAATAAGCCTGTACTAGCAATTTATGACCCTTCCTTGAAAACCGAGGTCCATACAGACGCGAGTTCAGTCGGTTACGGGGAGGGAATTCTTCTTCAATTGCACGAAGGTGGGCATAAGCGAGTGGTTGCCTACTACAGTAAGTTGACCCAGGGGGCTGAAGGTAGGTACCACTCGTACGAGCTTGAGACCCTTGCGGTAGTAAAGACCCTACAACACTTCAGGCATTATCTAGTGGGCGTACGTTTCATCATCACCGTAGTCACTGATTGTAATGCGTTGAAGCTTACACAACGTAAAAAGGACTTGCTTCCCAGGGTGGCTCGGTGGTGGGTTTACCTACAGGATTTTGATTTTGATTTAGAATACCGTAAGGGTTCCCAAATGGCACATGCCCACTAATTGAGTCGGAATCCAGTCAATGTGTGTACAGTTCGGAAACCCCTGAACTGGGCACAGATTGCCCAAGCATCAGATGAAAGAAACCCAAGTTCTCATTCAACGATTGAATGACGGTCGGTTAGACACAAGTCGATATGTCATTAGAAACAATACTCTATATGTCAAATATACACCTACTGGTGAACCGCCCCGACTTTTATGCTACATCCCTAAAGGTCACAGGCTAAGTCTGCTTCGAGTGTTCCATGATGAGCACGATCATCTGGGGGGGCGGAAAAGACTACTGACTTGATCACAAAACATTTTTTGGTTCCCGGGGCTACGTAGTTTTGTTCATAAATATGTCACGCACTGCATAGTGTGTATCTCTCATAAAAAGGCAGCACGAGCCCCGTTACAGCCCATTCACTCTTGGGAAAAACCTGGAGTTCCCTTTGAGACTGTACATATGGACGTATTGGGACCGCTCCCAGAGGTGGATGGGCTACCGTTACATACTAATAGTCGTTGATGCTTATTCAAAGTTTTGTCTTTTGTACGCTATGTATCGTCAAGAATCAAATGAGTTAAAACGATATGTAACCAACGCTATCTCTTAATTCGGTGCGCCCAAATTAATCGTTGCCGATAGAGCTCGAATGTTCCAAAGTACTGAATTTCTTGATTGGGTTAAGGATATGGGTTGTGATGTGCATCTTATCACACCGGAGATGCACCAGTCTAATGGACAGGCTGAGCGCTATTGCAGGACCGTTTTGAATATGATTCGTATCGAAGCAAATCATCGTCAACGGAGGTGGCCTAGTACTATTTGGAAACTCCAACTTGTCCTTAATATTACTAAACACAGGACGACACAGTATTCAGCCCTTAGTCTGTTAGTGGGAATCTAAGCGACAACACTACTCATTCGGAGTATTATAATTCGCGACGTGGCGATTCAGGGCAACAGCCTTAACAGTGGAGGCTTTACGCGAGTTGAGCCGACAAGATCAAGACGCTTATGTAAACCAGGGAAGAAAGCCTCCTCGCGAGTTTTTGATCTACATTCGTTAGTTTTTGTAAAAAAGCAGGCACAGTCAACAGGGAAGCTAGACGCGGGCATGCGTGGCCCATACCGTGTGACAACTGACTGAGTTATGTTAAACGTTCTACCTATGACTCAGGGGTTGACCAAGTTATGTTAAACGTTCTACCTATGGCTTGGGGCCTAATTAAGCAATGACAACGTTTTTGCCTATGGCTTAATTAGCAATTTAGTTGTTTTCCATCTTATCAATACGGCGGACGCGTCTTTAGTTAGTAGCGAAAGACTTTAGTTTTCTTCTTTTTCTGTCACTTTACAGGTTTTATTTTGCGTGCTTAGATGCAGACGCCGAAAACGAGGAGTCCGGTCTGGTGACTGCATGTCTCCAAGGTCAAGATCCGAGTCCACCTTCAGAAAGACTACATGCCGCAACCTTCTACTTCTGGGACACAAGGGTCCACGAATACCCTTATCTCGCCTGCCGCTGAGGAACAACGGGATGTCCTGTTTAAGAGGAAAGAAAGGAGGGAAGAGCCCGAGGACGGCCTCATGTCAGGAGAAGCCGTATAGACGATTAATAGTATGCGAGTTGATTTAGAAGGTTACCAGTATATGTGTATGGATGATTACGTATGGATGAGTATGGGAGTTAAATTAAAAAGTTAATAGTAAAGGAGTATAGATGTTTAATGGCATGGAAGCTAAATTATTTAAGGTTGCCTATAAAAACTCGTGTGGAGCTACGCTCTGCGCTAATAGGTGATCGGTCGTAAACGTGATTTGTTATTTCCGTGATCTTAGTTATAATTACTTTTCTACCGCCAAGAAAATATTGTGTGCAGAGATTTTTTTTTTTTACTTTATAATTTTTATTTTAAAAATAAATTCCTTTTGTATAATTCTAGAATATATATATATATATATATATATATATATATATATAAGATTAGTTTTAATATTTATAAATTGATTAGAATACAGATCACACGCTGCAAAATTTTGCCATAGCATAAGTAGGATGGCTCGACTGGGGGAGAATTCTGTCACCCAAAAGTCTTTAGGAAAAAGAAGCATTCATACTTTTGACTCTTTGTAACAAAGGCGTCGTTAGGCGTTTTAAGGCTGATTGCAGTGCGATCGTGTGTTAAAATATATTCATTCTATATGATTTCTTACTCGAATTCAGTGTACATACTACCTGTGTTTTAATTAAATACTAATACGACGGGAAAACTTGCACACGCCCTAATTGGAATAAATGTGATAAATGCAAATACTATAGTAATTCTTCGCAATATTTTAACATCGGCAGATTCATGTGGCCTTAAATATATAAACGTATTTTAATATGCAGAAGCACTATTTGTATTACGTGTAGCAGAAAGAGATCTATAGCCACAAACAATGCATAATCATTTTTGTCACAGGCTACATAAAACAATTAACGACACCATATTTGAAAGCGGGTTATTTTAATTGTACGGACTCAACAGTGGTAGGGCCACGCACCAGTTCGTTGATGCAAGAATGGGTAGGTCCGGGGAAGTACCACAACTTAACAGAAGACTGGCGTAAAGTAGAAGTACTATGCTTCTGCGTTTCGCCTGGTGAGTGAGGTAGCCGGGGCCCACTTCATTAAAA